ATGGACAACTTTCTCTTTACGGCAGGGATCAGAAATGGTGCTGAATCGATAACCTTCAAAAATCCCCTTTACAAATATGCACTAAGTATTGAAATCAGAGGCAAAAATCTAATTGCCTTCAAAATTACATCGAAAGATTACTCGTCAATAATAATAGCTTTCAACTGCGCGATCCCGAATGCTATGATATCTTTTGCTGAGTAGACAATCTTACCAGTATCTTTGATAACAACTGACTATTTTATAAATGGCATAGTTGGAGAAAACCTGTTTGAAGCAAAATTCAACAAAGGCAGATTTTTCATTTAGACGAGAGCGCATAAAAAATTATGACTTTCAATGCCTATTTGAATCACAAAAAATCCGATGCGGCTACCTAGTTTTGTAACAAAAATGTACTTTTTTACCCTGTCTCACGCATTATTGACAAAGACAAAATGTATTTAATTTTCTCCGTTATAAAAATAAAATTTAGAGCTCAAGAAAAGGCCGGTAGAATTTATTTATTTATTTATTTTAAAAAAAAAAATTACTGTTACGCCATAACTTTCCATCACGATGATTTGCCATTCAAAAATGTTCAACTTACTTTCAATAAGTTGACTGCTCTCTAAATCCAAGAAATTTTTACAACAAATGATTGGAGGTGTCGCACAGAAACACTTAGTTTCACGACTGAAACGTCTGAAGGATTGGAATACCCAACTTAACCGACGACAATGGAAACACAGAACAGAAATCAAAACGTGTCATTTACTGACATCACGCGACAACTGACCTCGGTCTATGTACCGTAGGAACTTAAAAAGTAAGAATGACGAAAGCTAACTGAGTGTTGCCGACTTTCTTACAAAGTTGTGCGTAATGACTAACCTTAAGATTTTCAGTGATATTTAATTTGATTTATGATGATTAAAGACTGCGATAAACGCTAATTTACTCGTAAATTCTTATATTAAGTTTCAATTGTAGATAAGTTTAACGCGAAAGTAAGCACAAAAACTTAAATGTGTACACATTAACGATCTGAGCAAGGAAAGTAAAGCAGACTAGACTGATTCCTAATCGAGTTTACTTATCAGTCAGTTTGAAGGCAACGTAGCACATGGTCAAGGTCTGAGATGCGTTATTTATGACCTCATAATGACGTGAATGCATCGGTGATGCCTCTTCTCTTTCAATTCCGCAGTGTAAGTTCGGCACTACTTAATTAATTTATTACTTTCTTACAGATATTACATAGTACCTGCACTATTCTAATTGTTGATCGGAGGGAAACATAGTGAGTACACTCTAGTCGTGAAACTACGGTCAACAAATAAGTGAATTCTATTTTCTTTCCAACAGATAAAAACCTTCACTTGTTCACATCTTTGATGCTTGCGGCAACGTTGCATCATGTCTAACCGGTGTAATTGTTTCCACAATTAGAAGTAATAATTTGTAGACCTCCTCATTGCTGAGTCCTCTTCCACCTCATTTCTCGTATCAATCAAGATTCTGCCCGTATATTTCCACCATGAATAACTCACGTTCTCCTCAGGCCATAAGCCAACTATCCTCATTCGATATCTGACTATCGGTGTATGCGATTGAGATGAACTAAAAGTATCTATAAGAGGCGTTAAGTCGTCATGTCAATACATTATCACTGCGCCCTTTAGGTCACTGTAGCTGCCCCACAACTTGTAATGGAAGGCTCAATTTTGCATTTGTCTCAAAAATTTAAAAAATATTAAATCATGCTTAAACAAAACTCTTGACTTTCGATTTTTGAATGTTTTCAATAGTTTTGGGGTGTGTTGCAAAATTTAGCGTAGGAACGATAATTACAAGTTCGGTCTCAATAATTTTTCCTCTGTTTTTCCTTTGGTTTTGAAAGGAACAAAAAATAAGATCAATCGTACTTTATGAAAAGCTTGCGGCGTTGCCTTTATTCTCATTAGCTCATTTTGGTAAACGCTATTGTGACACTCAAAAAGAGAGAATTTCTATGACTGCTTCAAAATCAGAAAAGGTGTCAAATTTCAGATTTAAGTGGCCATTTCTCTCTGGAGGCAAACGTAGCCATACATGTCATGTGTGTCAACACATTGTCATTTTAAAAAGAAAACTTCTCTAATTAAAAAGGCTGCTCACCAATTTATACAATCCTGACGATTCGACGAAAAAATTATACACTTTCAAGCATAAGTTTTGGTCCGTTTTGTTATTTCCACTGATGTATCGAATTCATAAAAATTTCACGACGAACCAAAACACCGACACGAAACTAGCGAGAATGATACAGTCCTAAAAAAAAACGCGCTGCTCAGTCGGCAATACTTGTGTGTTATCGTGAATGTTGAGCAAGATAACAAAAATTTGGATAAGCAGTGGTGAGGCGTGAATGATCGATTATCGATATTTCCCCACTTGAAGCTATGGTAAAGAATCGATTATTAAGGTTTCGTTCCGAACACCCTGCATATCGCTTCTTTTTCATAGGTTTAAATGGCAGATTAATCGATTTATCACAAAGCACGGCACGCCAGTATGGATAAGGCGTGTCAGAGGCCTCTCTAAGTTCAGGATAACACCTTCCATCGATGCGACTATACATGCCAAAGCATGTAAAAAATAAGCAAGATAAAAGCACATATCTCGGAAAAGACCTTGCTGGCGGGTAAATTTGAATAAATATAAAGGACAAACTTACCTCGTAGTTGATGCAAAGAAATTCACTCGTTAAATTTGCCTCTGCAATTTAATGAGCCACAAAACAAACAGAGATATAGGTGAAGTAATGAATGACTTCATAGCTTTTTTTAAACCGCTACAGCATATATTCATGTGTCATTTAGTTGAATTAGGCACTTTATCAAATGCCTGGGCAGGTAGTCAAATTTTGACAGTTTACGAAATTTTGAAAATTTACGGCCAAGAGCAAACGAGTTTCCAATATTTTGGCAAAAAGAACTCATCACATCTACAAATTCTTCTTCTTTCTTTTTCTTCAATTGCATCTCATATACTTAAATTTTAAAAATTCTTTTCTTTATGACGTGATTAAAATTTCAAGATAAGTGTCTGTTCAGGAGGTAACCATAGTTTTGATACTATTTTTGTGATGCACATTTTCACTGAGATTTTTTACCTACAGGAGCAATGAACTATTTTGTCTAAAATTGGGAAAAATGATTTTTCTTCAATTGCATCAAATGTCACAAAAATTGTATAAAGAGTCAAAAGCATTGCCTACCAGTTATTCTTTAAGCCTACAAATAATCGATGATTTTCAGATATCGGCGATCGGACTTTTCATCATGAAATCATTTTCTAGTCTCCGGAATGTAGGACTTCAAACGATTTTGAACTTCATTGGTAAAATCACCACGGATTACTGAGACTCATGGGGCATTTATTATTCATGAAAATGCACCAAACATTCTTTAAAATTTAGTTCAGAGCCATTAGTCATGTTTAGTTCTCAAATGAACACATTTATTCTAAAAGGAACTATGTTCCACGCCAACACTATGAACATAGTTCCTTTTGGCATAAACACGTCCATACTACAACGCATGCATTAGTGTCAGAAAAAAATAACAACTACTGCTTTCAAAGAAATTCTTTTATTAAAAATACAAAATCATCGAATACAAATTACACAATGATATCGAGAAAAAAACACAGAAAAAAGTATGAAATCAAAGATATGAAACATTGAATAACCAGTTATCAATGGAGAACGCAGTAATTTACTGAGTACATTTTGTTAAGTTCGAATGAAATACATCAAAAATCAATAAAAATATTAAAGTTCTTTAATTTTTCACTTTTATCCAGCATAGCTGAAGTTTTGAAAGTTCCGGTTCACAGGTCAAGGGCCTCAAATTTACTTCGGACGGTATGGTTCCTAAATTCAGCACTGGACTTTATTTTGCAATACGGAACTCTATGTTTCGCTTAACGATCTGCACAGGAAATTTAATGGCACATGCATTATTTCTAGAATAAGCTAGGATTGGTAATTTATCATTGCAAAATAATGTAGTCCAACTAATAAGTCTAGAATGGACGACATGTATATATTGTACGTACAACCCGTAATTATGGTTTCCAGATCTAGAGCATTTTCGGGTGTTTTCAAATCTAATTATAGTCACTCTTATATGTCTTTTAATTGATTTTGGGTGGAGTATATGTTCAAAATCTACAGATCTACGGTGAAACTATACCAGCGGGCTGATTATTGAAACTGATAGACAAAGCGATAGACAAAGAAGACATCGGGAGTAAGGAGCAGTTCTATTGATTGAAACGGGTGGTTGTTATAGACTAAAGAGGTCAATGATTGACTAACTGTCGGGTCTCTTGTCGGTTGCCGTTAATTAGTCTATTACCTACTTCCTTTGTCCATTGCAACCACCCGCTTCCACCAATTGGATCTCTCCATATTCCTTTGATCTTCTTTGTCTATAGTTTTGTCTATCAATTTCAATAATCGGGCCGCAGACCATGTATCTCATTGGCGGTGTCTAAAACTCTCTGCTCCCATTTTATTTTTGTAAAGAAAAACAAACCAATTCCATTCCTTGAAGTATTCACAGCTTTCTCGTCACTTACAGAGGAAAAATCACGGAAGTTTTCAAGAATTGACGTTGGCAAGTTTTTCATCTAAAACATAAAGTATGACAGAAAGTGTACGACGCACATTGGAGCAAGTCTTTGGAATAAGTCGGACATGAAATTTTTCACAAAAATTGTAAAATTTTACGTTTATCTCGTCACAATTTGAATTTTTAGGGGTGCGTCGTATAGAAATTTTTACGAGAAAACCGATGAAACTGATTTTAAATCATCAACATTTTATATTAATGAAGATATACGCTTTTAAAGTTTTGAAATCATGTCCGACCTCTCCTATTGACTCGATCCACTAAGCGACATCACAAACCGAGATTCGTGGTCTTGTAGTTTCACCATCGGTTTTTAATAACAAAGTTGATTGTGGCGCAAGTTTTTTTTTATTTTACGGTCTTTCCACTAAAATGAAATTCTCATTTAGAAATCGCATGAAAATCTTACTGATATAAAATATGGCAATCAAAGGGCGCTTCTCAGGTACTTAGATACACATTTACACGATAAACACCGCGTTCAAATCTCAGGGTTAAAAAATATCAAGATTCGTTTGGAGACCCGCACAAGATAAATGATCAATACAATTTTAAACTCAACTGCACGTAAGTCACTTGCGCAAGTTAAAAAAATATGTCGAGTAAATTACTGAACGGGATTCCACTACGCGATTGGAAAGTTGAAGAAGGTAGTTGGAAAAGGCTCGTTCTCCAGAGTGTAATGCCACCATTCTTTATCAAATTCATAAAACCCATGTTTCCTCATGGCACTCCTTAGAAGATTACGCATCTCCAAATATTTTTTATCAATGATTTCACTATCATGATGAGACGCTCTATCGAACAAATCAAAGGAGCTTCCCGCATCAACTGTGCCATCATTAAGGTAAGTAATTATGCTGCCGTCTTTTAAGACACGTCTTTCACTAGTAATGTTTTTCACTTTCTCGCCGAGTTTGATAATGGTCAAGTCAACAGTACTACCTCGACTATGACCTGAAGTCTTGGTGATATATCCCGCTTTTAAGACTATCTCTTTGTCAATATTAGGATAGTATTTTTCTTTCGTTGATTGATCGCCTACATCCTTGGCCCATCTGACAAACTGATCCACTGTTTCCTGAGGACGGTATGCATCGTAAACAACCAAGGAATATCCGTCTTTTCGTAGTTCTTGTTGCACATTCGATAGCGCTTTGGCGGCAACTTTGGTTAAAATTAGATCTTTACCTAGATATCCATCAAGTCTCTTTCCGATAAAATTTTCGGATGTATAATATCGCATATTTTCAATTATGGTAGCGTCTACATCCTTGATGTAAACAAAGCCACGGGGTAACTTTGTAGGGAAACATGACGTGAACGGTACATTAAAAGTTACAGCTATGATAGCCAAAAATATGGATACCACACTTTTTAAGACCATACTGAAGACTCCTACTTGTAGAGAGAAACTATGGTCTGAACGGACTGATTGATCTACGACGATTGATCTACGCAGTTTTGCGCTGCTTTCGAGAAGGCAGATGGAAAGTCCTGAAGTAGCTGAATCTTGAAGGACAGGGCGTTGAAAAGAGCTTACAGCCAAGAGGGCGCATTAGATTGAACTTTTTCAATCTGAAAAAGACACAGTTTTTCTAATTAATATATGCACTGGGTACCTCAAAAATAAGGACAAATGCAAATGCAGAGTCATTTTTAACATAACTTATGAAATCAGGGTGAGACACAACTACAAAGCGAATAATTGAATGAACGAATGAATAAATAAATTAATACACGATAAAAAAGGTGTCGACTGGAAAAAAGCTTCAAACATTAATCATAGTTGATTCTCTAAAATGGTATATTTGGTCCTCCGTCCCATTCAATGAAATTGATTAGCATTTCAGGTACATTTTAATCTAGCACAGAACCTAATTGAAAAAGGAAGTAAAAAAACAGGCGTTCTGCGTACACTGATCATATTTTTTCTTAGAATCAATCGACAAAAATTATCCTCCACAATTTACAATCATGAAAGAAATGAATGAAAACAATTGAGCTATAACGTTAGTTTCGCGCAACTTTTCGAGCAGGACACAAAATGACAGAGCGCATTCTGATGTATATTGATGTTCAAGTTTTCAGCAATGGACAGCTGTTAATGCATTAAGTGAAACTTGAGACATTGAATGACCAGAGTCATGAGGTTATTAAGACGTTTGATCATAAAGTTTAATATGCCCTATGTCTTACCAGCCCCTAAGATTATGCCGTGGAAATAAATCACTTCTCGTCGTGAAACGGCCCAACCTCATTCAAACACGTTCAAAATTTGATTGTACCTATTACATCTTATCTATACAATCATGCTGTGACGATGCTCAGGTCGCTGAAAGACGCCAGGACAAATGATCGTCACGTGGGCATAAAGGTTTAAAGATGAAAATCAGCCCGATTTTCAAATGCAGCTGTTGCTCACAGTCATTATGTTACGTCATTAATGACGTCACAATGTGCGTCGCGTCATTGCGGCAAGCGTAACATGAGTGCATTCAATGGGCTATCAACGGAGACACTATCAGGAGATAATCTTCCAGATGACAAGAGACACACTAATATAGAATTTTGAAAGGAGGGTATAGCGATGCAAATGGATTTATATCATCTTGAAGTAAAATAAAAAAATAGAATAATGGTAGTATTTATGTACACTCTTGATTATATTTACCAACCGGAAAGTGTAGCAAAAAGCAGAGGCCAAAATATATGACAGTAGTAGCCCTTGAAGCAACATTAACAAAATAAGGCAAACCAAACCAACACAACATGAAAATAGAGCAAAGGACACGGCGCAGAAATACAATTATACATGCTCGATAGATGTCCGTGTTGCATCTGCAAAATTGAAGGCGCGATAGCGTGAGTTAACTTGCAATGCTGCGCTCTATGCTGTGAATGAGGTATAGTTCAAAGTCGACATGATGTGCCTGAACGCGTATAAATTTGTTGACAAGTCATAAGCAAAAACTCCTCAGATTCTTGAAGTAAAGTGACCACCGAGCAATTGAGCCAAAAAGAAAAGGAAATTCGTCGAAGTCCTGGAAAATTAAGTCGATCTAAGGGTATTTTAGGGCTAAAACAGGCAAATGACCGTAGTAAGTCCCGTTTTAATACTGAAAAATAATGTCTTCGACAGTTATAATGCCAAAGTTTCCTACATATATGGTTATTTTAACTGGCACTATAAGTGTCCAAGTGCTTGAAATACCTCCATAATACCCTTAGATAGACTTAATTTTCCAGGACCTCGACGGATTTTTTTTTCTTTTTGGCTCAAATTGCTCGGTGGTCACTCTACTTCAAGAATCTGAGGAGTTTTTGCTTATGACCTGTCAACAAATACGCGTTCAGGCACATCATGTCGACTTTGAACTATACCTCATTCACAGCATAGAGCGCAGCATTGCAAGTTCACGCCTCACGCTATCGCGCCTTCATTTTTGCAGATGCAACACGGACATCCATCGAGCATGAATAATTGTATCTCTGCGCCGTCATCAACATGCGTCCTGTCCTTTGCTCTATTTTCATGTTGTGTTGGTTCGGTTTGCCTTATTGTAAACACTATCCCCCCCCCCCCCCCCNACACTCACACACTCTCCCTTACTAAAAAACAAAGCCTCTTCGTTGGGATTAAATTAGGAAAACTTATCTAATGGAGTAATCAAATAACGCCATTGGTTTCTAAAATTCTGTTAGGAGCTATCTTTCAACACTCTCACCTCAAACTAGACTTTTGCTGTATTCGATCGCGTAAGAGTCTTTTTACCTCAGCCAAAGGGGGAAAAAGAACGGAGGGCGAGCGACATTGTGCTGCCGCTAACCCTCAAAACCACCCCCTCCGAAGCTTTGATTAGTCCTTATGGAGGGGCCAAGACTCAAAATGGGGTCAATTCAATCAAGGCGACAAATCTCGAATTCCAGTAGAGAAGGTGTTACGGATACCCGAGAAACGGTGGTAAGGTCACCGAAGTGTGACAGGGCAAGGGGAGCGGTAAACATTACAGAACATCAAAGTGGTCCCGTGAAGGTTGGAAGAAGCTTTGAGCAGCAGACGTCCACAAAATGAGTTTCTCACCCTAGCTGATTTTTTCGAGACGCTTCACTTGTCCTCGTCGAGTTTTGTGGACACTGCAAAACTCGAAGAGAGAGAGAGAGAACTCCTTCAGTTTCAGTAATTTCTGAAAGTCGCGGAATCTGCTCTCGTGATAATAGATACCTTAAGGCTACCATGCTAGGGAAAAATGCCGTATGAGCCTTCAGGAATTGCCAAACTTTCCCTTATAAAACATTAATTTTTGAGGGTAGTCAGGAACATTTTTCCTTGGCATTTCTACACAATAGAGAATTTGCAAGTGTCTGTTTAATGAATTTCGTGTTTAAGTGGAAACTACTAGTTGAAATGAACACGAGGATACCCTTCGTTTATAAACTGAACAATTATTAACAAAGTACATTGACTCAAAAACTATACATGTACGAACGCAACTATGTAGCAATGTTTCAAACTGTTCGCATTTATTACATTTTAGAGAGAAATGTTGCTAGACATTGTTGGGCAAAACATTCGCATATTCTTCGAAGGATGAAGATAACTCACTGGCTGTTGAAACCATTGACTGCCCTCAGGTAAAGGGCGACAGAAGATCTAGAACTAATCAATCTATATGTGCATCAATAGTTTTCATTATCGAAGTCTTGCACACCTCTTTGTGAGTAAAATGCACGATACAACTATTCTGCCGTACTAAGGAAGAACGCCGTATGAACATTCAACAGTTGCCAAATTGCCGCAGAAAAAACATGTATTTTTTAGAAAGATGATGCGTATTTTTCATTGAAATTTCCAGACATTTCACACGCAATTGCGGACAAAATTGTCTGAAAAAGTTGAAGTAAAAAATTCGCGATTTTCCCAGTAAATTGAGATTTATTGAAGGAAATATGGCAACGTCTAGAAGGTTCATACGGCGTTCTTTCTTAGCACGGCAGTATTTTAATGCCAGAGTCGCACAAATTGCATAACCACTGATTTGAAGGAGCCGTACGTCTATCGAGCTTTCACTCGTTTAAACTCTGACTTGGTGTAAACATGTGATGTATTAGAGCCTTCTAACGACCATCGACGTGTTTCATGGTTATTTCTTGAGAGGAAAAAAATAAATTCATGTCTTTACTCAATGACGCACATGATAACCAATACTTCTTGAAGTCTATAGATCGACTGGGGCTCCTTAAATTTTTTAAAAATTGCGAAATCAGGAGGAGGAATTTTAATAGACGCGCGTAGACCGTGTTTGACGGATAAGGTTGTGACGTCAAAAGCGACAATCTGTTGTCCGATTCGGCAACAAAAGCCTGCGGATCAGATACTT